TCAGTCCTCATTCATTTCCTAATAGAAAAGATCAAACTAGGAGGCACACGTTGACCCAAATTCAGTCCCAAGACATGAGCAATCTTGTACCAGTAACCTCTGTTACTTACAGTTTAAATAACGTTCTAACACGTCAAGTGATTCCTGCTTAGGATTAATTTCTTAAAAAAAATAATAAAGCCTTAGATATAATTATTTTTAAACAAAATCAAAATGAAGATGCCCCGTCGGGATTAGTTTTTGCACAGAGCCCATTCCAAATGGCCTCTGTGTTTCTGGAGGGAAACAGGACACAAAACACACTTAGTTAAAACCAAGTGTGGTAGCTCTATTTTGCCTGATTTGCCCGAGCGTTAGAAGCCAAGCTAATACATTGTAATGTCACTGAACTTAGCATCACTGTGCCGACAAAGAATGGCTGTCACTTCCCAGGGGAACCTTAGAGACGGGGGAAGGAATAAAACAACAACCAAAACCCTGAAACCAATAAAAGCCTAGTGTACACCATGCAGTTAAGACATCAATCCCAGCTAGGCAAGCAGCGACACATGAGATGAGTAAATACTCACATTGTGCAATTTATAGTAGAGTCCGCAGGCATTACAAACTGGGTCCCCGTTTGCATTACGTCGCCATAAGGTTGTGGTGGTTGTCTGACAGTTGGCACAACACGTCCCTGCTCTCCTAGCCGCTGACTAACCAAAAGAAAAAGAAAATTAAAAAAGTATCGGCAGGAGGGAGATCATGAGAAAGGTCAAGTTGGACTCAATATTTAGGTTGGGCAGAACTACTTACTAAGATTTTACAGAGCATCAGGGCTAAAGGAAAGTTTTACATTTTGTGGCCGTTAGGTTTTTGTTTAAATTCAAGTATTCTGCTATGCGGACTGCAGCTTCAAGCCCCGTGGCACCGTGTGTGCAGGGGACCGAGAGAAACAATGCATCTCTAACTCCACAAACAAAAATTTTAGAGGGGAAAATGACATCTGATTTGTTCAGGTTTTCCCTTTGCAGGATTCTAGAATGCGTCATGAAAATGCATTTGCCTTTTTTTTTTTTTTAAATGACCAATTTAGTTTGTGCCAGTGTTGGGACAGGGTTTGAAAAGAGGGAGTGTTCTTAAAGAATGTGATTTTTACCCCTACTCTGGCCCTTTAAAGATGCACACAAAAGAAAACCAACCGCATTACTTAACTGGGTGCAGTATTTATCAGAGCCATCACTGAAAATTCAGTTTCCATTTACAAGTGAAAGGGAGAAAACAAAACCGGCTCCAACTTTCTTTAAATATTTAGCAAACCAAATTTCATGCCTTGCAGCAATGATTCCACTAACCTGTCTGCCGCCTCTGTCCCTACTCAGTTCCTTGGCTGACAAGCCCTCAAACAACTGTCTTTAAAAAAAAAAAAAAGCACACACCTCCCCCAAATTCACCACCCTTTCTAAAACTATTGTTCTGCTGAAATCAAGGTGGAGGGAAAGAAAAATGCCCAAACATTCTCCCACCTCCCAAAACAAGAACAGGAAAAGTTGAACAGCAGGCAGCCAGTAATTTCTGGATGGGCCCTTGTCTAGCAGACCCCACAATAATACGTTCTTTGTGCAAGCATGCTATCATATAAAGTGTTATGGATGGACTAATTGCACCCCATATTTTGGAAAATAATTTTGTATTACGAAGCTTCAGCCCTGCCTCTGGAAGTGGTCAAAATACAGTCCATTTTGTGCAATTAGATTAATGCTGAGGACTCAGTATTTTCTTTTCTTAAATTAGCAGTTTACTTTCTAATGCATATCAATCGTGGTAATTTCCCCGGGGCCCTGCTCCCTGGATATATTTGCAATTAGCCACTGAGAGCCACAGGGAGAAGCGGCAGCGAAGCTCACGTTAATGTGCAGGGCATCTCCGTGAGCAGAGTCACGGAGCGGTGGGTTTCCCAGACGAGAACTTTGTGCGCTTCCCTGCCTGCCGGCTCCGCCGGGGAGCTGGTGCCGCTCGAAGCACAGACCGACCCGGCTCGCAGAAGAGGAGCACCGGGTTCCGTTCTCACTTGCTCCTGATTTACGCCATGGCCCTCTGTAACTTTCCGAAAGTTGATGGACGGCTCAGCAGCTTAAGGCAAGAATCAGGCCCTGGGAGACTCATATATTTCAGTCCCTTACTCGCCTGTGAGAACAGGCCAAAGGCAGAAAGAGGGGGTACCCCCTACTGCACGTACACTTATGCAACCCAAACACAATTAATGCCAGACTTCCAAACACTGACATTATTAATATGATCACTTTGCTATTGCATGTCAGATGAACAAATTCCCAAAGATGGCCATCTCCTCTCCCCTGCAAACAAGCAAACTACAGTGGAAAAAGGGGCAATAAACAAAGCTGTAAATCAACTAAAGCAAAACATTAAAACAACTAAACTAAAAGAAAACCTCTCTAGTGCCCCCCAAACCCCTCACAGCAAGCTAAGTATAACAGTCTCCCAACACACTGGAAGGTGGAGACCTATGTTTGCATATTTGAGATGGCTTACTGATATTCAACTATGCTGCTTAACTCTATGGCCTGTCCCATTCAGACTGGAAAGCACTTGAGCCTGAGAGACGATAATGTTACACTGTTGTCTTAACATTTTTCTATATGTCAGTCACTTTAGAAGGCAAGTCATTAAGAAGCTTGCATAGTTGAAATTCTGACTCACGACAGAAATCTTCTGTATCCCATCCCAGTGTTAGAGCAGTAATGCCAATTTTCTGCTCTCCAAACCTCATTGAAATGTGCCCACGAATAGCTAAGAGACTTAGGCACCATAAATCACAAAGCTCCAAAAAATATATTTATTATTCTTAGCATTTTACGCATTATTTGTGGAGTAGAGTGTATTAGAAATTTCAAAACAGCAAGCATGACTGGCAAGGCTTGCCTATAGAAACTCTCTAAAGCTTTTAGAGTCAGGAAACAGATACACAAAGTTTCCTTATCTTTAACGTACAGATATCCGGATAGGAAACTACTACCAGGAGCTTAGAAAGGACATTTTTTTTAAATCACTCAAATGAAAATACAAAGTATAGGTGACTCCATGGAAAAATAATAGGACTTTTTTTTTTTTTTTAAAACAGTAGGGGATTGTCTGGGGAGGGAACCAATATTAATATTGCCAGAGAATATAAGAGTGAAAATTACTTCATGGCTTTTATACAAATAATTATTAAGTAGGGAGCAGTAGCTTTGACTCATCTGATTTGTTTTGCTTTTTGGAGCTGGAACTTTTTTTTAGTACACGGTGGAGGACATTCACGCTCATAACCCTTTCGCTCCCAGTATGCGCCCAAAACGTCCCAAGAGGCCAAATAAATGAGGAATTAGATTAAAAGCTGTCATCTGAGGATAAACGGGGAGACGGATACACGATATCCCGCGTGTATTGTGAGCAGCAGGGAGGCTCGGGACAGAGGCACGCTTGGCAGGCTGCGGCGGCGCGGTGGTCTGCGCCGGGGATGCCGGGGCTGGGGGTGGCGGGGGGGGAGATCTGCCTCGAGGCACGGCAGTGACCTCGACGTGACTGACCCCCATGTACAGTACGGCTTGGCTCCGCGCAGGGGCTGAGCAGAGATGAGACACGTTTGACTTGTGCCTGCGTGTGGTCCCTTTGCCTAAGTTATCCCCAAACCCAGGAGAAAGAGAGACACCTACCAGCCTTCGTTTAGGTTTAATGAGAGGTCGGTTTTGACCATTCATTTTGTGGTAGAGCCCGCAGGCGTTACACAGGTAATGCCCGGTGCCGTCTCTTCTCCAGAGAGGGGTGGCAGTTGCTCCACAGTTCACACACTCTCTGCCTTCTAAATGGAAACACGAAGAAACCGGATTTCTTTCTTTAAAAACAAATTCACAAAAGCTTTTTGCATTGTCCTTTAGGCGTTTTCCAGAAGTCAAAACAGCGTGTTAATTCAAGCACAATCAGACAGCAGTGACATCTACAGCACATGCAGCAAGGAGCTCAGTGTTTCAAGAACACTCAGACTCCAGCGAGTATTTTATGTCATGATCAGAAACAGGCAGCTCTCTCTGCAAGGTGAGAAAGAGTGACACTCTTATTGTGTCAGATGGAAGTTATCGTTTCAGTAACGAGAACTCCCTTAATCTGCGCTGGGCACCTCTCCCCTCCCGTATCTATTGCACTCCGATGGTTAGATCCTGTGTTCTCCTGCCACAACTACACACGTGTACGCAAACACACACACCTGCAAACACACAATATGTTAAAGAGAGTCAAAGGAAGAGGCTTTCTAGAATTAAATCCAAGCAAAAAGACCTCCCATTCTGTGCTTTGTTTTCTGTTGCAAATGCTACGGGCTGAGAAAGTAAAGCCGAGCAGATTGGGAAAGGATACAGAATGCCAAAGGCTCGGTTATGATTTTTGTTCTAAAGGCAGAAAAACACTGTTAACACTGATCTTTGAGAAAGTTCACTTTCAGCAAGCACTCTGGAAATTACTGTAAAAAACAGACTGTCAGTTCTTTTCCATTTCTGTGATTTTTCAACAATACAGTTTGGATTTGGTAGGGAGCAGTTTACCTTATTACTGCGTCATTATTAGTTTTAGTAGCACAACGTGGGAAACACGGCATTGTAGAATGGCTCTGTTAAAACGCAGCATGTAACTCCTAGATATCTGTTTCTGCCTCAGAAAGCTCTCTGCTAAAAGTTCATTTGCCTCTGATGCTTCGAGGGCAGGTCTGCTTAATATAGAAGTCTCTCTTAATATAGTTTATGCAAATCCTACAGCATTTAACTGGAGAGGAAATTCTTTTTGCTAATAACTGAAGCAGGCCACGTTGAGTTCAGCGGGGCTTGTGTCTCCTTTAATCTAGGGAGTGGGTAGCTTTTAAACAACACAGTCTACAGTGAAAAATGAGGGGAGCTCTGTGGCGCTGCATTCGTAGCTTTTGTCCCTCCTAGGGCAGGAAGCTGCAGGAGTCGTCGTGTCGTGAGTCTTAGTTTTCCTACAAAAACACTGAGTGGTCACGAACTTTCCCCAGTTCCTTACACAGGGGGCTCCCTTACAGAAAAAAAAAACACCATAAAACAAAACAAAAAAAGCTCCTTACTTCCCCCATCTAATAAAATCATCGGCAACTACAGGACAAAAATTAAAAAGCTACTTGAGATCCCTTTATCGTCACAGAACTGGGTCTCGAATCCATTTCCAAACTCAGCTGCTAATTGCCTTTACTTACTGCTCTCTCACTACTAAAAAATACCTATACATAATAGCAACTGCATTTAAATAATGGCAGAGGGAGAGTGTGTTTTTCCCCTCAGAGGAGCCATTTGAAACAGAGCTGATGAGCTTGTAAAATAGCTGATATTTTTGTTGCAACACTCATAAGGGATCACATTTCTAAATTATTGTCTACTTTAAAAATAAATGCATGTGGTGTATTTATAAGCATAGATGTGCAATGATATATAAGAATACACACACAAAAGCATATATAGCCATTTATTTTTAAAGGGCTATCTAAATTCAGCCCCAATATACCGTATTTCATTTCCTTCCATGGCTGAGGATGTTAAAGCAGGAAGGTTAGTAGAATTACAGAAATTGTCTTAATTCGTCTGTCCAGTTGTGCAACTACTGTGATTTCACAGTGGGAATCAAAACTTCATCCATCACCTAATTTGCTGATTTAGGACTGCACTTTTAGGAAGAAATGCAAGGAAGGGTTGTGGACATGGGAAAGGTCTGCAGTCAGTCGTTTGGAAGCAGAGGCAGGAGCAGCAGCTTTTTGGGGTGGGTGGGGGGGGGGTGGGGGGGGGGGGGAAGGAGTATTTTCTAGTTAAAGTTAGACTGGAGTAAGTTAGCCATGACTGGACACCTTAGTCTTTTGCACTGGTATGTAAACGATATTTGAACTTTTGCTCCTGTAAAATGTGAAGGAAATAAGGCCCTCTGCGATTAGAAGCGGACCGGCCGGGTAAGTTTCGCTTTCATCTTGTGCTGGGGCCTTGGTTCGTGTTAATGAAGAGACGTGGAAATTATTGAGAGAGAAACACCTATCACTAGATAATGTAATAATCGTGTAATCCGTGGGGGGTTTTACTGACTTGGGGAAGCAGGGTCGGGCCCGAGCTCCCCGGGTGGCTGAGGCTAGCTTTTCTCTGAGGGGAATATTTTTTCCTCATATAAATCCTTCCTTGTACAACTCGATCTGCCACCTCGCACTGCACCGGTCCCTGTGTCCCTCGGCCGCCTCTGAGGGCTCTGGGGCTGGTGCCGGTGGCTCAGCGGCCACTTAGGATGTGTTGGCACCCACAGAAGCCTGGTGCAAGCTCCATCTCCTAGTTTAAAAACCCAGAAAAGTGGGACCGAGCATTTGCCTGCTCCTCTGCCCCAAAGAGAGCAGACACAAGCACCCAGCCTCGCAGCAGCCTGCAGCCTCACCCCCAAACAGCCAGCAAAGCCAACCATGACAGGCACGCACCCCCCCCCCCCCAGAACGGCCCCCACCCCGGCCCTTCCACCCCGGGGATACAGCCGGTGCGTGACGGGGCAGGCCACGGGGTGCCACACTTACCCGAACAGGATCTGGCCTTGCTTCGTGGCTTGGGGGTGAAGCTGGATGCTGGGCCCCCCAGGAAGCTGCCGGGGTGGAAGAGGCTGCTGCTGTAGTCGTGGGCGGCCGGCCCGTAGGAGGGGTAGGTGGGGATGGGGTGGTGGGTGGAGGGCTGGGCCCCCATGCTGGTGAGGCTGCTTCTGAGCGGGCTGGCGCTCTCCATCTTCATCCCCTCCGACCGCGACACT